TGTGCACAAAATGGAGATATTTATGTAAAGTTTTAAAACACAGAAAACAATTGTTATTTTCTTGCTTAGTTTCAATCATAGTCCTGGGAAAGGTAATGATTCCGTATTGGGGTAGGAGAGGCTGAAGTGTTTATAATCAAGTCACGGTGGTTTCAATTATGTTGTAGGGTAGGAAGCATTTGAGAAAGAGAAATCTGCCCTATTATTGGAGTACAAAATAAGCAAAGGATAAGACTAAGATTATATATTTTATTTCAGCATGGGCTAAAGAGTTCAGGTTTCATTTTATAGACAAGGAACCATTCAATTTTCAAGTAGAAATGGGTTGACCTAATTAGCCATTTTAGCAAGTTCATTGTAACAAGGAAGGGTCCAACAGGAAATCAGCTGGCTATTTCAACAATCAAGGTAAGTATTACCTGTTCAAAGAAAAGATAAAAAGCAAAGTCAGAGTGAAGTAAGGAAGAAAACCAAGATTGGCAATGAGTAATGACTGAAGTTGAGTAATGGGTAGAAAATGGGGTCATTTTTTACTTTTATGTTTGAAGTTCTCCATGATTAAAAAAAAAAAAAAAAAAGACAAAGTTGCTGAATATAGAGGCACATGATTGTAATCCTAGCTACTCTAGAGACTGAGGAAGGAAGATGGAAAGTTCAAGGTGATTTAGCCACACATTGTTTAAAAAAAAAAAAAAAAAGACATTGGGAGAAGTGTGTGTGAGTGTAGCTAAGTAGATTTTAACTAACTTGCATTGAAGTCCTGGCTTCCATCCCTAAGCTGCACACATCCACACAGACATGCAGAAATGTACATCCAAGTTTAATGTATTTAAAAGTGTATGTATGGGGCTGGGGATGTGGCTCAAGTGGTAGCGCGCTTGCTTGGCATGCGTGCGGCCGGGGTTCGAACCTCAGCATCACATACAAAGATGTTGTGTCCGCCAATAACTAAAAAAATAAATAAATAAATATTAAAAAAAAAAAAAAGTGTATGAATGGGCCAGGTGTGGTGATCCCAGTGGCTCAGGAGGCTGAGGCAGGAAGATCATGGGTTCAAAAACCAGCCTCAGCAATTTAGTGAGGCCCTAAGCAACTCAGTGAGACCCTGTCTCAAAATAAAATATAAAAAAGGGTTGGGGATGTGGCTCAATGGTAAAGTGCCCCTGGGTTCAATCTCTAGTACTGAAAGAAAGAAAAAAGAAGTGTATGGACTGGGTATGGTAGTGAATGCCTGTGATTTCAGCTATTCAGGAAACAGAGACAGGAGGATCACAAGTTCTAGGTCAGTCTGGGGAATTTAATGAGATCTAGTCTCAAAAAACAAAAAGGTTTTGCTGAGTGTGGTGGCACACACGTGCAATTCTAGTGACTTGGGAGGCTAAGGCAGGATAGCAAGTTCAAGATCAGCAATTTAGCAAGACCCTGTCTCAAAGAAATTAGAGGTTGAGGCAGGAGGATTGCAAGTTTGAGAGCAAAGCCCTAGAATGAGAATAGGATTTTTTGGTCATCATAGGAACATTGCCGGCTTTTTTCCTGTGGCGAGTAAATGCATCCTCATAACCTCCAAAATAAAAGTAAAATATAAAGAAGCATGTTTGATATCTCTCATCAATAGAACATTATTTAGTAACACAACTATAGAGAAAAGTCAGGTTATTTAACTCAGAACTAACTTAAATTTGGGGCTGCAACATAGAAACCTGTGGAATTAAATTTTTTCTGAAAAAGATATCTCTCGTTAGCATTTACAGGTAGGCATTCTTAAAAATACAGGCTCTGAACAGCTCCTGTAGAAATCTGAAACACAGTAGTACAGTTTAGAGGCTGGAAGGCAGGACTAGAAGTCCTATTTGAGTGACTGTGGAAGAACCAATCGGAAGCCCGCGAAAGTGTGCAGGTGGGACCAGGAAGCCCGCTCTTCCAGCCAGGCACCCCCTGGTTACCATTGTGATGCAAACAACATGGAGTCCGCTGCCCAAGTTCCCCAACTTGTCCTAGCCGATTGCATTTTGTTTTATTTTGTCTGCATTTTCCCCCGCCTGGCCAAGATCCTACTGCGGTAGCAGCTTGTTCTGTCTCTGAGACCTGCGGTTGCAGCTCCTGTACATCCTGCAGTTTTTTCTGTGGCACATGGGTGCCAGCATTACCATCAGATCATAAGTTAGTTTGTGTTTGGCATTTAAATCAAGTAATTCAAGGGTTAAAAGCACTGCTGGCCATAGGGGCTAGGACCCCATAGCGAGCAGCAAGCAGCCTGAGTTATAGCCATTCTGATTCATAGGACAATCATGTAGTCAAAAGGTCCCTACGTACTTTCTGAGTATTGACAAAAACAATAGAAAATTGAAACTTATTTCTCTCCAGGTAAACATTACATTTTCTCTCCCTTTTTCTCACTCTCCTAGCGCAAACTTCTAGAACATAAGGGCCAAAAAA